ATTAAAAAATGTGACATGCCTCCACCAAAAATTTCAATAAGATTACAGATTAGGTATATTACAGCAGTAAAATGATTAAGTCAGGTTTTAATGCTCAGTAAACTGTACCATTAACTCTAACAACTGACAAACAGTTAGCACATATAAGTCATAGTTAATATAATTACTGCATAGCTAGAAAATTTGGAGTGCTAAAACTTGGCAAATTGACTCTAAAAGAGGTTTGGAGGTTAAAATTTTGGCGAAATTTTAACTCTGTGTATGCTTCTATGGAGCCTTATCAAATTAGAGACTAAAAATTTGGCGAATGGACCTCAATTCGACAAAGTTTTACTCCACCAAATTTTCTAGCTATATGGTATATAACATGGCTGTCTCTATTGAATCAATCAGTATTTCAAACAGGATTTTCTGGGAGAGGTTTTAAAGGTTAAGTATTGCATAATTTGAGGTGCATAAAGTTATATTTTCTGTATAATTTATCGAAGTGAAACTCAAAAATTAAAAATACAACAGGCTACAATGCAATTGCATAATGTAGTCCTATTTTGATCTTGAATTAAAATTTCAATTGTACACCTTCCGGTACAAAGTGCTCCTAATTTGCAGCTTTGGTATATATAGCTCATCAGATTATCTTGTATGTGGGAGGAACAAGCTTAAAAATGAATTATTTCATATCACTAAGTGCTTTAAGACAAGATTATGTAACAAACAGAGCAATGTTATGATAATACAAAAACTTAAAAAGAAACAGCTACTACTAAGAAATGATGCATGCAAGGAATACACATGCAGGCATGTTACTAATTTTCTTTTAAAAAATCAATTTTGGTCGTAATCAGCATAATCAGCTCTACTCCCTGCCAATTTTGATAAAAATTTGGCTGGAGACTGTGTACTATAGCCCATGGTCTTGGGCCAAATTTTTTATCAACTTAAAAAATTCATAAAAAATTCATATTTGATGGGAATCAGCTCAAACTTGCTACACAACATAAGAACATGTATATGTATCAGGAAAAATTATAAAAATGAAAAATTCTCTCCTAGTCATTTTTGGTGAAATTTGGCCAAAATCCCTGTACTATAGTACAGGGACTTTGGCTCAATTTTGGAGCAACTTTAAAAATTCATAAAAAATCCAAATTTGATCAGAATCAGCTCAAACTTGCTACACAACATAAGAACATGTATATGTATCAGGAAAAATTATAAAAATGAAAAATTCTCTCCTAGTCAATTTTGGTGAAATTTGGCCAAATCCCTGTACTATAGTACAGGGACTTTGGCTCAATTTTGGAGCAACTTTAAAAATTCATAAAAATCAAAACTTGCTACACAACATAAGAACATGTATATGTATCAGGAAAAATTATAAAAACAAAGAATTCTCTCCTAATCATTTTTGGCAAAATTTGGCTGAAACCCCTGTACCATAGCACATGGCCTTGAGCCAGATTTTTGAGCAACCTTAAAAATTCATAAAAAATCAGAATTTGATCAGAAATAGCTCTAAATTTTACACAATATAATAAAATCCATATATATCAAAAAACGTAATAAGAATTCTCCCCTAGCCATTTTTTCATTAAATACAATGGACATATTTTACACATAAATAATTTTACACATAATTTCTTCTCCCGTCCTTCTCTGAATTAGTAAACTTACATTCCTTAAATCTCCACCATTACAGAACTCCATCCATACATGCATCACGTCCTCAGGAGGATGATAGGGAATATCCTAATAATAATAATAATAATAATAATAATAATAATAATAATAATAATAATAATAATAATAATAATGAATATTGAATAACAGAATCCATACATGTACACATATATACAATTATGCACACACATAATATCAATTAATAAAATTTCCCACACATGCAGTGTATGATCCAAAGCTTAGGAATAATCATAAATATCACTGGGTCTGTATTAAAGACAAAATTCAGTGCAATTTAAAATTTAGGGATTTACAAAACATAGTACATGTGCACGTACAAGTGTATGTACATGTACTCATTTCAAACTTTAGCTAAGGTTTTAACGTACCTACTAATTAACACACACACATGTAATGTTTTCTTATACAAAAATTAGTACATGGAGAGTATGAGTACATGAGTATAAGATATCGGCTCACAGGAGGTGGGCCAAGAGCTTTAATAAGGTTAGGATGATTGTGTTCCCACATTATCTTGATCTCGTTCCTCAATCTAACAATCATCTTGTCCCTCTCGTGAGAATCTAGATTACGTAATGGCTCCAATTTCATTTCTTTCAACGCAATCTGTTCCCCATCATTCTGTATGTATATTATATACATAATAAAGCATACATGTACATGGATTATATAAATAAACACAGGGTGTGACTAATGCTTTAATTCTTACACTAGTAAAAAGTGAAACATCACCAAAAGAGCCACGGCCAATAGGAGCACGTCTCCAATTCTTTCTAATACTCATAACTATAGCTACAAGAACGAGAAAAGAAACAAGAACTCAAGAAGTTGTTGCACTGCTGCTACAAGCCCCACCCATGTTGCTTGTATACTCTTCCGTATTCTTTTGTAAATTTGTTTTTAACCACGTGTAATCTTGATAACCGCTGCTGTCGAGCGGCTGCTGTTGTCTTCAATGTTGGCCATGAAGATGGAATAACGAATAACCCTGTTAGTACGGCCATGTTTAGCTTACTGAGGTGAGTTTGCTATCTAATGTGACTAGATTTATGTAGCTGACAATACAATCTATTGCAGGAGCAACTCCTTGAAGCGATTTTCACTTCACAGTCATGATATTGATCAGGTCAGTCGATAGATATATATGGTCAGTCTAATCCATGACTGCTTCATTTTATGATATATTGTGTGTCAGTAATAATAAGATCCAATATAACCTTTTTCATTAAGTTAATTTTCACAACGCCCCTGTAAAATTGAATTGGACATTTTTAAAAATTGTCTAATTTTAAATATAAATTTATAAATATGTATATATATATACAGAGAGTGGCAAAAGTGTTTCTGTTAAGATTTTGTGGCTATATCTACAGTATATGTAATACATGTTGTTATTATTATTATTATGCAACACATGTTATGCAATATGCCAAAAACACCCTGTTTTTGTGTGTTTTGATAACACTATCCTGTAGTAGCATGTGATTAACATGTAGTATACATATATATACTATTATTTATCCATTCATATCCATCAATCATTGAATCAACACACATACATGTTCTATATACATCACTGTGTTCATGTACATTATTTTAATTTAATATTATAGCTGCATTATAAATATTCTTTTAGTTGATGATTAGTGAATTACCATTTATCATTATTAATATCTAGGATGTACTAAGAGAGATGTACAGGCTTTATGTTAGATATGTGGATGGCCCCCAAAGGTAAATTGTATCAAGCGTGTTTCTTGTGCTCCTAATGTTGTTCACTGATTGTTCTCAATGTGGTTCACACGTTGCTCTCTCCCCTCATTTTTTGCAGCTCTGAATGAACTCTATTTTGTTTTTTGTTTGCGTGCGCATATATAGGTTTCAAGACTTTTGCCGTTACATTCAGCTGTTCAAGTATGCTTCAATTTATCGTGACAGAGCCAGTGGGGGTCTGAGAGGGATGAGTTTTCTAGATGTACAGCCTAAATCATTCCATGTCGACGATTCTGGTAAACTATATCATTGCAGAGTTGTTAAGGTAAGCTATTGCCTGACAAACTACCAATTGTGTAATGAAAATGTACTAAGGTTTATGTACATGTACATATCAACTTTTCTTATTTGCTCTCCATCTTTTCATAGGGTGCAGCTACCTATTTCCAAGAGGAGTATCATGGACATTCCTCGGTATATTATAAGTATCGTACTGCACTCTTTATAAAAGGTATTTTGATGTGCATAAAGCTGCTTGAAAATTAGGCCGAAGTCCCTGTACCATAATATAGTACAGGAATTTTAGCCCAAACGTAATCAAAATGAAAACTATATAGAGCATGCTATTAAATGCATTTTGCTTGGTAGTTGATGCATTTTATTGAGCACTTTTTTTTTAATTTTATTCTTTTAGAGAAATTACTTCATCCTTTTACACCGCTTTATATTGGTGGCATGTTCTTCACTTATAAACTCTACCTCGTTAGTACAACCATTGTTATTATTAATTGTATTGTATTTAATTCATAATCCATATACATGTATTATTGCAGGTTTCCACAAAGCTATTTAAAAATTGTTATCCACGCTATGATGCTGAGACTCCTGATCTCTATAAGAAGTTTGTATCACGTGTACATGTATTTGTGTTGACTGTTTTCACTATAGCCTCATTAGTCAGTATGCATCAAGTAGTCTAGATGAAGGTGAGGTCTTTGATGAAGAGAAAGGGCTCGTTATTCAAAGTCTATCTTTTGTCAAGGTATACTGATTACTGAATGATTAGTGCATTGAATATTAGCCACAATACCAATGGCAATATACTATTGATATAAATATTATTGATGTAAAGGTCTCCTTTTGATAGGATCATGTTGCTCCTATTACTGACACTGATCTCTCTAATCCTCATATTGAGTTTTATGCCAGATCGAATCCTCACTGGAAAGATGTAAGTACTTACATTAAGATACAATTTCTTGTGATGTGGCTGTATTATTTTTCTTCTTTAGGGAAATGCTTTGGTAGCTGTTGCTAAAGTGACTTGGGGTGACATATTCTTGAGAATGATACCATTCATTTTCAGAAGGTGGATCAGAAGATGGTTTAACTTTAATAAGAAAACTTCTTTATCATACGTCCATTGATCAGTTTTGTTGATCTTTTTACTTTTATGATAGTTTTTGTCATTAATTGCTCTTAGTTAGAAACATGATGTACTCAATACTTAAATTTTATACATGTATACCTGCTAAATGCTACCAATGGGTGTGGTTTAAAATGGTGAGTAAAATGGTAATAGATTTGCTTTGAAATGCGGCTTTCCTTGCTAGTTTTGGTGGCTGAAGAACTTAAAACTCCGGTCCCTATCAGTTCGTAATGTGGACCAGGTCAGTTTCACCAAATGTGTGAAGATCACTTGTTAGCTAATTGCAGCCTGTTGCTGCATGACTTAAAATTTTGAGTTTAACTACTGTGCCAACTGACTCTTTAGCATCACTGTACAATTTTCACAGTAAATTTTTTCTAATAGGTTACACTACATGACATGTATAGTTTATGGCACTATACCATGACTGGAAAAGTTAGGTGAGACAAATTGAGTGCAGCATAATTGTATTACATTGATTCAATAACAATTGTAAATAATAATTACCGTAAAGCTGGAAAAGTTTGCGGGAATTATATTTGCGATTTTGTACCAATATAGCTAATTTTAATGTTTGTGGAAATTAATTTTACTGGTGTAGGTGTGTACTGTTGATACACCCATTACTTATAATGCTTTGCGGAATTAAATTGTGCGTTTTTATGATGAACAGCAAACAGCAAAATTAAATTCCAGCAAATATTTCCAGCTATACGGTATGCTACTTTACTTGTAAATTTCAGCTCATTAGTACCTTTTTTATATAGCTATGATGACTTTTTGGAGCTACACAATTCATTTGATACTATACTACTGATGCATGATCGAAGAAATAATAAACTATGCGGAGCAACTGCTTATAGTGTTATACCAACTTCACTGAAAAGAAAATCAAAGCCTGTATCAATTATAAGAGTAAGCCTATTAGTATTCCCTCTGTGAAAAATGCTGTGTTTTATAGTCAGGGCCAGCATATATCCGTCCTGAATATCAAAGAATGAAAATTCTTCGTGACTTTACTTTATACTCAATAGCCAAAGGTAAAAGTACATGTAGTACATTGATTTGTTTATTTATTTTTATCAGAGAGGTTTCGTCATCCATTTGCCTCACTCTACTATTCCGTCAATTTTATTAATTACAAAGGTTATCCGGTCAGCTCACTGCTCTTATAAACATGCATGTAAAACAGCATTTACATTTAATTTTTGATGTACTTTCATGCAGGGATTTGCTGGAATTTCAAGTAGAGCCTATCCTCGCTATGACAAACCCACTCCAGAAATGGAACAGAAGTAAGTATTTATTATAACCTCCTCAGTATGATGTTATCTTTTCTATAGAGTTATTGATTATTATGTACTGAATATACTCAATCTTCACGACTGCTATAACAGGGAAAGGAGTGTAATAAAGACAAAACAGTCAATAAAGGTTTGTGCATGATATGAAGTTCATTGTATGAGACTGAGAGACTATGAAGCAATCAAAGTATTTGATGCTGTTAAATTTTGCCAGTAACATTTTGATTTTGTACTGACTATAAACAATTAAACATATGGCGAGTCCAACAGCTGTAATAATGATATTCTACTCTCAGGAGGAGTTTGCCATCATTACTGAGGAAAGTTTAAAGAACCCACACATTAGGTTCTATAAGGAAAGAAATCCTGATTTTCTGAAGGTACTATAAGTTTCATTAAAAATTCAGTTTTATGTCAGAGAATTTGTTAATTGCTATATCATTATTAATTAGGGATATGCACTGGTAGGTATTTTGGAAGTATCTTGGAAATCAGTGTTCTCAAAATAATTTTTAAAAGTAGATAGTTATAGTATTGACATTGTTTATCATGTTCTTTCATAAATTCAATTCATTTTAATTAAATATGGCCCCACCCAAGAGGTTATTAAAATGGCGAAAAAGATGGTGGAAATAAAGGAGCTCTCGGATTTTGTGGATTGGTTTGAAGCTAATCACGAAACAAAGGATAGAGTAGAATTCAAAATTTATAAAAAGCACACTGGTTATCCTGTGCCAAGCCACAACGAGCAAGTAAGGACTGCTATCTGTTATGGCTGGATTGACACAACAGTAAAGAGGATTGATGAGGACTCCTTTATGAGAGTGTTTGTTAAGCGCAAAGATACTGCTAGTTGGAGCGTAAATACTCTAAGGTATGCTGCTGAGCTAACGAAACAAGGAAAAATGAAACCACTTGGAACAAGACATTATTTAAGAGCATTGGAAAAGAAGAAAATAGTCACACCCCGCAAATCATCAAAGTCTTCATCTGGATCTAAAAAGACTTGAATTCAATTCAGTATTTTTATATATTTTTAATTTCTAGCTTTTATGACACCAACCCGAAACAACTAAAAATGTAAATTTTTAATTCTGCCCGCGCGCCCTCTGCGACCACGCCTTTTAATTACGGCGCTTTGTTAATTTTATCATAAATTTTATACTATGGCTAAGCTAAACTAGCTGCTATTACTACACAATAACTATGAAAATAATCATTGAGTCAATATATAACTTGCTCTGCTCTACTTGGCGCTGAGAGAAAGGAATTCTAAAAACACACCAAATAAATGCAAATAATACAATAATTGTGGTTGTACAATTCACCTGTAAAGCTGATCTTGCCATCTTTGTTTTCATCTATAGAATCTATGAGGGCTTTGATAGATGCAGCAGTAACAGATTTGTAGTTCAAATTTTTAGCAACATTCACTAGCTCATCTGGTCCAAGGTAACCATCACCATTCTTGTCGTACTCCTGCATATCAAAAGAAAATTATCATTAGACTACAAAGGCTACAATCATTCTACTGAACTCACATCAAACTTTTCCTTGGATGCCTCTATTTCATTGTAGGCCAAGAACTCGTCAAAGTCGATAGTGCCACTTTTGTCAGTATCATACTTTCCCATCATGTTAGCAACTTGTAGCTTAGACACTGGAAGGCCAGCAGACTTGAAGGCATCGTAGAGCTCTACAGCTGTCAACTGCCCATTTTTGTCTGCATCATATTTATCAAAGGTCTTTTTTAAATTTTTCTTTTGATCCTCAGTGAGCTTAACAGCCTGCATACATGAGGAAATGAAACTATCAAAAAACAAGAAGAGTTATGCACAGCTGAGCTTACCATTGCAAGTGTAATTACTACTGGTAGGCTAAAATATCAGAAGAAAGTAGGAAATAATCTGCTCAGAGCACTAATTGTTGACTCATAGTTCAGACTTATATATAGACAATGTCCTGTATATGCTCACATGATAGGAACTAGGTTTATAGTTTGTATATTCTACTTACAGTCTTTGTTCCAATAATAACAAGGATGACAAAGCTCTGGAACTAACAGGCTGTGTTTGCTACAGCTAAAGGTGTCATTTGTAAAAGTATTCACACAGTGTTTATTGTAAAGCTTAGCTGTAATAATAATCAGCAGTCCCCCACAAGTAGCTTATACAGTATAGAGTTTTGCATGTGTGCACGTGACCATGAGAAAATCAACCCAGCTCCAATAAGAGTGTATCTAATCTATATAGTAGATATGTACTCTCTATCAAACACATTAAAAAGGAAAGGATCATATGAGAGGAAATGCCCTCGACTAATTGTAATTTCATGTTTCGTAGTAGTTTTGTAATACCAATTAACACTACAGCACAATAACAATAGCAACACATTTGTAAAACATGGTGTCATACATCTAATTCAGTTTGTCTTGTTCAGCTACTTCTTGTCAAGTAAGACGATAAACTCTGAAATAAAAAATGATTTATTATTTTAAAATTTAAATAGAGCCATTGAACAAACAACTCATTATTGATTAAATGCAAGAAAACTTTTTAGAATGTGTAAAAACTGAAGGCAGCTTTAGAATTTATGAATTCCAACTGATAAGTTAAGTTGATAACTATAAGCTGCTAATTGGTACTGTGCACAGACTATTATTAAATTACAGCTTCAGTGTACATAACAATAGCCTGGCAAAACTACATAAATAACATGTTTCTTACCGTCATAACTTATTTGTTCATTTCCATCTTTGTCCACCTTTTTTATCATGGCCTTGGCCTGATCAAGAGTGATTGTATCATCACCCATTAGCTTCATCACTTCAACAAATTCTTCAGCACTAATCAGACCGTTTCTGTCTCTATCACATGCCTTATATGTATAAAACAAAAATTTTGTAAAGTTCCTGAATAAGCTTTATACCAATAATTATTGTCATTAGCAAGCATGTTTCGCTCAACAGTGTTAATTGCATGGCTTATGTGCATTAATTTATTGTTTGACTTCAATTTTTTATTACTTCAAATGTTTTCCGTCTGATGTCCTGGGGTTTCGTTAATTGATTCAACATGTAGACACAAAACTCATTGAACTCAATTGTCCCATTCTTGTCACTATCGACTTCTTTCAGCATGGCATCGAGCTCAGCTTGGCTCATGTTTCGACCTAGCTGCTTCATGACTTCTGCCAACTCACTTGAAGAAATGTGACCATCATTGTTTGTGTCAAAGATAGAAAAGGCTCTTCTAAATTCAGCCTTTTGTGCTTCTGTAGGTTGTTTTTCCTATTCATAGGACAATAAAGAAGTCACAATAGACTAAAGATATTCATTTGCAGCCACTCACCATGTTCATTGGCTTGTTTTAGTAGTTTAAGTATTCAGGGTTGCAGCAAAACAGATCAGCTAGCTAGCTCAGTAAATTAGCCACACCTTAAAGGCTACTCAACGCCCACTCAACATGGGAGTTTTGTTTTTGACTTGTCTGGCTTCTGCCTTGTTTCTAGCTGAAGCTTCAGCTCCTGGCAGCAGTTGCATCAGTGACTATAACAATTGCACGGGGAGCTATTATTGCGTGGACAACAAATCTGCTCCAGAGATTAACTGTTCAGGAAATGTTTCCACTTTCACACCTCACCCTCTCCCTCCTCCTCCTCCCCCTGGAGACTGTGTCCTAAGTGATGGGGTTTGTATGTTTGTTAACATGTGCATGATATGGGTCAATAATCAGTCAGAGTATCAGTGTACGTTGGACTCAGAGCATAACAACACACACATAACAAATGTTAATACAACATTACTTCCGCCAGGGGAGTGTATCTATCAGTCAGGACAATGCAACTGGTCAAGTAAGATGCAGACAGAATGGTTTGTGGCATTACGTCTTCATTTTTAGAGTGTTTCTCTTGGCTGGATTTGTGTCAAATGCGGTGGCGTTGTCACAGTCAATATTATTATAAGAGGAAGCCTCATCCAATCTGCCCAGTTAGGCCTATTGCTCCTCCTCCAATACCAGGAGTATGTCGTTATAATCCAAGAGTTGGACATTGCCGCTTTCATAGACCATCAGGTGAATCAAGTAGTTTAATATAATTTTAATTATAATTGGTCAAGTATATTATTGCATTTTTTTAAATTTTAGAATTAACATGTACTCTGTCTTATGATGATTGTACTGGTGGATACTTTTGTGATCCTGGTATACCTGATTCTGGAAACTGTTCAGTTAAAATACCTCAGAATATAGCACCACCTCCTAGTATCTGTACTGAAAACTCTATTGGTTGCATGTTTTATAATCCTTGCAAGGCATGGAATAAAGGATGTTATGGAGCAGTTCCTCAGTGTACACTGGAATCAGAATATATACAGTATAATAAGAGTAATCCTTCGTGTCATTTATACACTCCTGCACCACCACCTAAGGAAGAGTGTCTTTATATTGATTACAAGTGTCAGTGGTATAATGAGTGTGCTATGTGGTTAAGTGATACTGGATACCAGTGTGGTACAATTATTGATAAATACATATATACTCACTCGTTGACACCTGTTAAAAACAATGGCAGTAGTGTAGCGTTACCACCAGGAGAATGCATCAATCAGTTAGGAACATGTACATGGTCAAGTAAGTTAGTATGACTACTCTTTTATAAAACTTTGACTGTTTCGTATATTTTAATGTTTCCTATAGTGTGTCGTTCATGGCTAAATTGGTGCAATGAAGTGTGGATGTGTGGCAGCCAGTATGACTACGAGGCATATTTCAATAGTCCTCCTCCTCCCTGCCCACCTCCCCCACAGAATTTCACTCCTCCCAATGAACCTGGAGTGTGTCAGTTTGATCTAGCTTCAGGTCATTGTCAATATTACCACCCACTGTCAGGTCAGTTTATAAGTATTGAAGTACTTCTTAATTTTTGTTTTCCTTTATCCTAGAATTAACATGTACTCTGACTTATGATGATTGTACTGGTGAATACTTTTGTGATCCTGGTATACCTGATTCTGGAAACTGCTCAGTTAAAGTACCTCAGAATATAGCACCACCTCCTAGTATCTGTAGAGCCGATCCTTTTGGTTGTGTGTTTTATAATCCTTGCAAGGGATGGAATAAAGGATGCTTTGGAGCTGTTCCTCAGTGTACACTGGAATCAGAATATATACAGTATAATAATACTCATCCTCATTGTAATACTCCAGTTCCTATGCCCCCACCTAAGGAAGAGTGTCTTTATATTGATTTCAAGTGTCAGTGGTATAATGAGTGTGCTATGTGGTTAAGTGATACTGGATACCAGTGTGGTACAACTATTGATAAATACATATATACTCACTCGCTTATTGATAACAGCATAAATACCACTAATGTATTATTGCCACCAGGAGAGTGCATTAATCAGTTAGGAAACTGTACTTGGTCTAGTAAGTTCAATAGTTTTTGCCATTATTTGTCTATTTTTGGTTATAGTATGTCATTCATGGTTGGATTGGTGTCAATCCTATTGGATGTGTGGTAGTCAGTATGATCATGATGTGTATTTTGCTAGTTCTCCTCCTCCTCCTTGTCCACCTCCTCCACAAAATTACACGCCCCCAGCAGAGCCAGGAGTGTGCCAGTATAATCTAACATCTGGTCATTGTCATTATCATCATACAGGTTAATATTAATATTATTTTTTTCATATTTTTATTATTGTTTTTAAGGTCACCATTATTTTATACCCTGTTGTATAATATAGCATGCAAATTTTATGTGAATTTTACAAATGGTTTTTCTTTTTATAGAGTTTAATTGTTCTCTAACTTATGATAAGTGTACTGGTGATTACTCTTGTTCCTCTGCTCGTGTATCTAATCCTGTTAGGTGTTCTGTTCCCATACCTCGAGAAATAGCACCTCCACCTGATATCTGTACTGAAAACTCTTTTGGTTGTGAGTATTACAATCCTTGCAAGGCATGGAATGAAGGTTGCTTAAGAACCAACCCTCAGTGTACACTGGAATCAGAATACATAGAATACAATAAGAGTAACCTATGCAATTCATATAATTCTAATATACCACCACCCAAGGAAGAGTGTCTTTATATTGATTACAAGTGTCAGTGGTATAATGAGTGTGCTATGTGGTTAAGTGATACTGGATACCAGTGTGGTACAGCTATTGATAAATACATATATACTCACTCATTGTCTCTTATTAAAGAAGGCAGCAATAACAATAATAATGGTTTATCTTTACCACCAGGAGAATGCATTAATCAGTTAGGAGCTTGTACCTGGTCAAGTAAGTTATGATTTATAGTATTTTACAAAACTTTTTACTATTTCTCTATAGTGTGTCGTTCATGGCTGGATTGGTGTCAGGGATATTGGCTGTGTGGTAGTCAGTATGACTATGATGCTTACTTCACCACTCCTCCTCCTCCTTGTCCCAAGCCTCCGCCAAATTATACTCCTCCACCTGAATCAGGACTGTGTCAGTATAATTTAATTTCTAACAAGTGTCAGTATTTCCATTCACTAACTGGTAAGTTTGTATTAAATAATGTAGATTTGTGATAACAAAGAGTAATTAGCTCAGTCATTTTAGTTATCGTTAAAGCCTTTGCATGATTCTATCTGAACATTATTACGCATCCACTGTTTTCCTTTATCCTAGAATTAACATGTACTCTGACTTATGATGATTGCACTGGTGGATACTTTTGTGCTCCTGGTATACCTGATTCTGGAAACTGTTCAGTTAAAATACCCCAAGATATAGCACCACCTCCTGATATATGTACTGAAGATCAATTTGGTTGTTTGTACTACAATCCTTGCAAGTCATGGAATAAAGGATGCCACCAAAATGATCCTCAGTGTACACTGGAATCAGAATACATAAAATATAATAAGAGTAATCCTCCGTGTCCTCCTTATCATCCTGCACCACCACCTAAGGAAGAGTGTCTTTATATTGATAACAAGTGTCAGTGGTATAATGAGTGTGCTATGTGGTTAAGTGATACTGGATACCAGTGTGGTACAGCTATTGATAAATACATATATACTCACTCGTTGTCTCTTATTGACAACAATGGCAGTGATATACTGTTACCACCAGGAGAATGCATCAATCAGTTAGGAACATGTACATGGTCAGGTGAGTATAGTTTCTCACCTTCTTTCTCTTTCTCTTAATTTCTTATTTATTGCATTTTCTCCCTTTTTTATAGTCTGTCGTTCATGGATGGATTGGTGTAAGACGCGTTGGATGTGTGGCAGTCAGTATGACTATGATGCTTATTTCACTACCCCTCCTCCTCCCTGTCCTCTCCCTCCACCTCCTCCTCCTGAACCTGGTGTATGCCAGTATGATTTATCTTTGGGTCATTGTCACTATCATCCTACAGGTTTGTATGCTTTGTTATGAAAAATGGATCCAAAATCCCCCATATTTGTTACATTTCTGATACATATTGATGTCTTTATGCTATGTAGAAGTTTGAGCTGATTACAACAAATTTTTTTGAGTTATAGCTATTTTTTTAAAGTGGTCAATTTCTGAAAAATCCCCTGTACTATATAGCCCATACTTTTTCTTTAAAAATGGCTCCATTATTTCCCTCAATTTTTATTTCAATTTCTGATACATATCTAGCTCTGTTGAAATTTTGGTTTATTGTGTGATACTAATTTGTGTATAATATTCCATAGAGTTTAATTGTTCTCTAACTTATGATAAGTGTACTGGTGATTACTCTTGTTCCTCTGCTCGTATATCTAATCCTGTTAGCTGTTCTGTTCCCATACCTCGAGAAATAGCACCTCCACCTAATATCTGTACTGAAACTTCTTTTGGTTGTGAGTATTACAATCCTTGCAAGGCATGGAATAAAGGTTGCTTTGGGGTTAACTATCAGTGTACACTGGAATCAGTGTATGTAGAATACAATAAAACACATCAAGAATGTGTTCCTTTTAATTCTTTACCACCACCTAAGGAAGAGTGTCTTTATATTGATTTCAAGTGTCAGTGGTATAATGAGTGTGCTATGTGGTTAAGTGATACTGGATACCAGTGTGGCACAGCTATTGATAAATACATATATACTCACTCGTTGACACCTGTTGAAAACAATCGCAGTAGTGTAGCATTACCGCCAGGAGAATGCATCAATCAGTTAGGAACATGTACATGGTCAAGTAAGTGTAATACTTTGTCTATGGCCTCTACCTCTTCTTCTTTATTTGTTCCGTATTTTATCCTTTCCTCTCTCTCTCAACTTTAGTGTGTCATTCATTTTTGGATTGGTGTCAGGGATACTGGTTGTGTGGCAGTCAATATGACTATGAAGCATATTTCACTACTCCTCCTCCTTTAAATTGTCCACCACCTCCTCATAACCCACCTATTGAACCAGGAGTATGTCAGTATAACTTCACTACTTCTCATTGTCAATATAGTAGTCACAACTCAGGTACAGTTATTTACATACGTACATGTATAATGTATTATGCTTATATAGTCGATCCATGTGATGTGGTATTGTGCCCTGTTGGTTCAACCTGTCAAGTGTATGGCTCTACTAGTTATTGCAAGTATTCATGTCAGATCGCTAACGGTGGCTGTAGCTCAAATCAAACTTGCTCTCTTGTTCCAGTACAGTGTATAACAGCTCCATGCTACCCAGTGGTCAAATGCACTGATGGTAAGGTAGCTACTATGTGTATAATAGATACTATTCATTGCTATTGTGGCTTCAATGGCAATTTTGTTAAGACAGAGGCACTTTGATGTACGCACACATTGGCTGCTATTGTATTTGTCATGTAATTAGATTGGTTACATATTGCTTTTTTTCTTTGGGTGTGTACAGCTAATGTTACCACGTATAAACCTGCCAATGACTTCATCACTAATTACATTTTGATGGGAATTGCTATTTTGACATCACTGGTTACCTTGGCAATGCTATGTGCTGTGATTGCTGTCAAGCAGTACAGATTAAGAAAGAAAGCACTCGGTAAGTATATTAACCTAGTTTCATCAATCTAAGAGCTAAACACATTTTGTAGTGGAGCAAGAGATGAAGCTAATTTGTGACACAGATACAACTGACATCTAAAGTACACCTGCTGCTGTAATTACTACATTTTGTAACGCTGTACAATCAATATAATTAATTTGTGTGTGTAATTACTGATAACTCAATTACTAAAAAATGAAATATCATAAAGTGTGCCGATATGCATGCTTTGTCTTTATAGTGACAAGCATTTATTATTTTTGCATAGCAACCAATTAAATTCTCAGACTATGTGTCTGAATGTGAAGGTATCATTGCGTTAGATGTAGCTACATTCTACCTAATTTATTCACATCACAAGATTTAGACAGAATCCTATTGGAGTGAATGTAAATATTCTCTTATGCCCTTATAACCTCTTACAATGCAAGTATTAGTGTATCTTGTACTATGCTGTTTATTATTTCAATGTAAAGATAAACAAACTGCACTTTGCTAGCACACATTAGCACAGCCATAGATCTAATTATCAAGTGGTGGCTAAAAAGGATTTTAGTGTGTGTGCATGTGTGCCAGATAAAACTACACAGTTGTTTGTTGTAGCTTTGCCAAATACTCCTATATATGAGCCAATTTCAACTATGCCCACTCACAATGGGCTTTTTCAATAGTGCTTCTTATTGCTGTGTATTTTGAATTTAGTTGACGTATATATTGCAGCGGAGATTAGTATTGATATTATTATTATTATTAAAGAATATGTAAAACCAGAAATATCTAATTCTCACACAAAGCATTGTGACAAGGCTAACTATTATAATTAATGTTCTTGTTCATTGCTTTGTTCCCTGAGTTACTTTTTAGCATTCAAGTTTTGAAATTCTATAAAGTTTGAATAATGTGGATTAAGTTATATACAAATAGGTATATGCTTACCTTGGAAATTGATGACACCATCACCATCCTTGTCAACAGAGTTGATGAGATCTTTTATTACTTTAGGAGTAACCCGATCATAGCCTAGATCTTTGGCCAGTAGAGTAACCTCCTCGGGCCCAAGAACTCCATCTCCATTCTTGTCATATTTCTGTATGAGAATACAAAATGAAATTGATTTCATTTCATTTTGTATACAAATGAAAATGAAATAGCTATGAGAATAAGGTCAAACTTACATCAAAGTTTTCTTTTGTTGCCTCTTTAGCATTGTATTGCAAATACTCCTCATAGTTCAACGTGCCACTACCATCAGTGTCAGCTGCTGAGAGCATGTTAGCAACTTGAACCTTTGACATTGGGAGACCAGCAGATTTGAATGCAGCAAACAGCTCCTCTAGTGTGAGCTCTCCATTCTTGTCAGCATCATATTTGTCAAAAATCTTTTTCAGCTCAGCCTTCTTTTCAGCAGTGAGTTTTACAGCCTTTAATTACAAAGACTCATATCATCATGGACAACTGATATTGATGACTTACCATTGCAAAAAGAGATTTCTTTATCCTGCTAATCTAGTGCTTAAAAAATGAGAGTAAAGTCACACAACCTGGACTGCAGCTCTATGGTCATATTTATAACTATTTTTAGTGAGTGGGTGTAATTGGCTCACATGACTGGAACTATATTGTTTCACTTGTTGTCCATACACAGATGCCATATTTGGTGCTATCTTGTTACAGTTGTACACTTGTACACAGCAGTTGCTTTGTCCTGCATTTAATTGAAAAACTTGTCAGTGTCACATAGCCTTGTTGTTATAGCAATCATGCGAGTATTAAATGGAATTTTGTTTATTGGTGTGGTGTGGTGTGGTCTGGAACCTGGCACTGAAAATTAATCAGATTTACAACACAGACATTCTTAGGGTATTTATGATCACTGACCTGATGCAATTAGATCTTATGCTACATGATAGATGCTTCACTGATGCTGAGTAGATCTAGCAGCATTTTTGTTCTACTAATTGCTGTATATACCTCTAAATGCAGGGCTATAAATCCAGACCGGTTTATTGCAAGCTGCAAGCATGAAAGCCTATTAACAGATGATGCCTAAATCTAATTGTATCAGTTGGCATGAATGTTTTCAAAAACAAACATCAACTAGAAAATAATCTATTGTAATCAGACACAGTAGCTTCAAGCTTGCTGAACAGTGGAAAATGAACATCATGATTGCATTTGTGTCCATGTCAGATCACGTGAGTAACCTTATACGTCACTAACCTAATAAGAGGTGTGGTCGTTTTTGTTGTAGGAGGTTTTACTCTGTTCCTTTAGCTCTCGGTTTCCTTTCCTCTCTCCTCAGACCTTGATACTAGAAATGTCCAAGCTCAGAAGAGAATTGTAAGACGCATATTAGATCTAGTCACATGTGATGTGCTTCTAATTCGTTTATGTACACGTAATTAGGCCATCATTGGCCCTGAGAGTGAGAGAGTGAAGAGGTGATATCCACTGAGAGGGGAGTCCTGTTTTGATGTTGTGGTGATTTTAGTTCCCTAAAGATTGAAATAATTTACGTGCTGAATCGAGCCAATCTGGGGCTTCGTTTTGAAATTTTGTTTTATTTCTTGTACATGTACCTTTTAAGATTATAAGTCTTTAAATACTTATTATTAAAATAACCTGGCGTGAGGAATATTTTGATTTTGAGTGCTAGTTTGGTTTTAATTCATGATAGTAAATCATTGTATAGTCTACTATAAATGCCTCATCATGTTTGTACACATTAATGTTTCCGTTAGCTTGAGTGTTAGGAATTGATTTGAGAAAGGAAGGACCACTTTACATTTAATTTCTTCTTAAAACAATTCTTCATAAGGCTGCTCTTGTAAACCACATGCTAGTGGTATATGTGTAGGCGCTTCTTCCTCCATTTATGTAGCATTGTCTGCATGTTGATAATATTAATAAGAGGAATTATACATTGTACAATGTTAGTAACATTATAGCGATGACCTGTGATGATAGCTAATTTCCTTTTGTGTATGAGTTCATGATAGTTGTCATTACATGATTGTACTCTTTTTTATAGTAAAAATGTTGTATATAATTACACTGATGCTGAGGTCAAAGTACGAGATGCTACATCAAATGAGCCATGGGGCCCATCAGGGACTGTAATGGCTGAAATTGCTGAATATACCTTTCACATGTTAGTGCATGATCTTTTTATTCTCTCTCTCTCTCACGCACACACACACACACACACACTCTCTCTATTTAACTCTTCCTTTATTATTTTTCCTTCCTTTCTTCCTTCCTCCTTCTTTTTCTTTACAGTCAAGCCTATGCACTGGTGATGGGTATGTTATGGAAGAGATTGAACGATCATGGAAAGAATTGGCGTCATGTCTACAAGGTACGTCCTAAACTTATTCACTTGTCACGATGCACTCGATTTGCTTTTAACAGTCTCTTGTGGTCCTTGAGTATCTTGTTAAAAGTGGATCTGAGAGAGTCGTCCAGCAGTGCAAGGATAACATATTCTCCATTGAAACGTTGAAAGACTTTCAGTTCATCGATAAAGATGGGAAGGACAATGGAAACTTAGGTAACATGAAACCATGTACACAATCACACATTTATGGTGAACGGTTTAAATTTTTTAGTAAGAGAAAAAGCGAAGACTCTTGTTGAGCTACTTAAAGATGATCAGAAGCTGACAGAAGAAAGAGCACGTGCTACATTAGTGAGTGCATCAATTGATACCATCAAACACGTACATGTACATGTATATTTATAATATCAGCTCCTATACTTTAATTCAGGCAATCATGTTGTGTTATGTTCTAATACACACACCACACTATATGATACTACATGTGCATAGTGTGATTCCCTATCTATAGTACCCCTACAGTATACTATGACTCCTTATCTCTAATATTCTTACACTATACTGTGATTCCTTCTCTAGTATTCTTACAGTGTACATCACTTGTTTCCTATGTTCATGTCTTGTTTCCCTCATTCCTGTACATGCATTATAGTAACCTCCCTTGTACTTTCAAATTATCACTTGAGTTTCTCTTTTCATTTTCCTCTCTCTTTCCCTTTCCCTATCTCTCATACTCATCCACAAATTCCTTTATTGGCATTATTATTATTATCACTATTGTTATTATTATTGTTGTCATCATTATTATTGTTGTTGGCCTTGTTTCTTATTTTGTTTAGTCTCGCGAGCGTAACACAGCCACTACAGGATTTGGCAGTGATTCAGTTTCTAGTAGCGTTGCAGGCACTAGAAGGTACGTATAGTATGTAACACACACAATTGGCTATCAGTGTGATTAGTGTATGACTCATTAATGTGTCCAGTAGGACTCCAAAGACCAGCAGCACAACCACTAGCACTGCCAGTTCATCTCAGAGGTATCCACTTGTTTTTAATCACACAACACATCCTCCATTTTTCGTTATTGCTCTCTTTTTCATTTTGTTGTTTGTTTCTGGCCTCTCTCGTTTATTGACCACTTTCACTTTCTAATCTAATCTCTCTCTCTCTCTCTCTCTTTCTCTCTCTCTCTTCTAGGAGCAATCATCCTCACAGTGTTAGTGATTCAGCATCTGGTGGTGTGTTCAAGCCTCACATTGATCAGAGCAAACCGTCAGCAAAGGATGAGGAGGAGCTACAGCTTCAGTTGGCCTTGAGGATGTCAAAGGAACAAGCTGATGAGGAGGAGAAGTTGAGGTAATGACGACTCTATACCATATCTAGTTCACTAACATGTTTTGATGTCTAATGGAGATGTAATGACTCGTATTAGCAGTTTAATGAAACATGGAAAACTTAGGCTAAATATTTTTGCATGGTAATAGTGTATTGCAAGTGTAAGACATCTTTTAAGGATAATTATGAAGCTTTTACATTATATGCTTCATAAAGCCTTTCTGCAATAGCACTTCTAATGCTCATTGAACCAGTTTGATTTGGTTGCAGTCATTCCACACCTGATGCGAATTGACTTCAATGCATTAAGCCAAACCACCTCCACATGTGGTTTGAATGTGCTTGCAATAGATAACCAATGGCAGCTGGATCAGAAATACTATCATAATAATACGAGATCCTGAAGATAGTGGGGAATCACCTGACCTGTTCTAACCCTTCAAGTGTAGAAAGCCCTATAATCTAAACTGTGATTTATTGATTTGATAGAAACTTGCTCTAGCGCAGCATTTTATAGTAATATTATATTTATACTCCTTGGGTGAATTGTGTTAATATCTTGCCAATAGTTTATAGTAAATATTGTTAGCTTTAGCCTTTACACACTCTTTTCTTTACTTTCAGTGTTGGCCACAGTGTTTGCTTATTGCAATCACCCACATCATGATTATATTACTGTCTGTATTTGTCATTTCAGAGAAATTGAATATATTCCTTATGTCTCAATCAGTTATACTTCAAAAGAACCGACTGCCAGCCCAATAAACCTGATACTGTTTCTTTATTGTCTGTACACAGTGGACTGGGGCAGTAGTGCCTTACTTTCATCTGAAGAGTGTTCCTCTTCTTCCTTTTTTAGGCATTGGAGTAAATAGCTTGACTGGCCACAGTTTATATTAGTATTAATAATAGTTTGGTGTCTGGTGATCAATTGCTAGTGTTATATGTAAATTTCCTAAACCATTAAAAGATAGGCTGTATATAATAATATACTGGTGATACAACAAATTAAATGATAGGACAGGCTTTGCATTAACCATTTTGTATGAATGTGTTTGTTCTTTAGGAAACAAGAGGAGGAGAGTTTAAAGATAGCACTGGAGATGAGTAAACGAGAGACAGAAGGTCAAGGAGAGGAAGAAAATGATGATGACACTGAGAATAATGAACCTGATCTACTTGGTATTCCTTCACACACACATTACCTCTTCTTTTCTCTCTTCTTCACCCTCACTCCTCCTTCTATTTCCCTCTCTTCTACATGTTTGTCTTGTTTATACATGTACATGTTTGTGCCCCTCTCTGTTTATGTATATGTACATGTACACATCTTTTGTTTTTTTGTGCGTACATTCATGTACATGTACGCATGACTGTCGTATTTAAATCAATTCTTATTTTGTACTTGTGTTGTTGATGATCTGCATGTGTTTGCGTTATTTTTGGAAGTTGCTGTACATTATATTTATGTTATAAATACACTAATGATGATATTTGTATTTAGTGATCATTTCTTTTGTAGCTACATCTATAGGTACATTTGTTTATGTTCTAATACATGCACAGTACACTAATTATAATCCATAATAATTATTACATTAGTGGGTCTTGTGTTTAATAGGTGGTTTGAGTGATCCATGGGCTACAGGTGGTGGAGGGGAGCTCCCTCCCTCCTATGATCTGGTTACTAAGACCTCACCTAACAAGCAGCCAGCTTCTTCTGACCCGTTTGCATCTACGAATGATCCTTTTGCTCCTCCTACTCTACCCCCTGATCCTTGGACCAGTAGCAGCAACACTACCAGTGGATTATCAGTCTCAGTAGCACCTCCACCTAGCACCAGGTAATGTGTACGTTATCAGTGTTATTGACTATGGGCTTCACTTGTGATAACTAGTTAGTTTCAGTTGATTATATATACTGTAGTTCCCCTCTTTATAGCTAGTACATGTACATGTACATCAACTGTGTTGTGTGTTTTGCTATTTAGTCAGTTTTAGGCTCTCGTCATGGTGTTGGCATTAGTCAGTGTAATAAACATATCTGGGTCTCATTTTTATAAATTTTGTTGTTAGTTTCAGTTCCTCTTGCTTTTGTTATTTTAAACAGATGCCATTAAATACGTGTGTATACATTATTGTTGTTATTGTGTCTTCTCCGTACAGTACATGGACATCATTCTCTCCTACTAATACTACAATGTCTGATCCTTTTGCTCCACTTCCGTTGGCTGGAGAGATCGGTTCTACTGGTTTTGATGATCCTCCTACTCTGCCGGTCATTCCATCAACATCTGGGACTTCTTCTTTTGACTTGTCAGCATTCAATCCTCCTCTTGACTCCATCACAACTTCTACTAGTAATACTGACAAGGTACATTTGTACTGATAGCTACTGACATATGTATACATATACATGTATGGTTCTAACTGATGTTTTATCAGCATTTAAAAAAATGGGCCAATTTCTTAAAATTCCCTGTACTATAGCCCATGGTTTTTTCCGAAAAATGGGTCTGAAATTACCCCAAATTTTTATTACATTTTTTGATACATATTGATGTCCTTATGCTATGTAGAAAGTTTGAGTTGATTCCAACAAATATTTTTCAAGTTATGGCCATTTTTTTAAAATGGCCAATTTCTTAAAAATTCCCTGTACTATAGCCCATGGTTTTTTCCGAAAAATGGGTCCAAAATCACCCCAAATTTTTATTACATTTTTTGATACATATTGATGTCCTTATGCTATGTAGAAAGTTTGAGTTGATTCCGACAAATATTTTTCGAGTTATGGCCATTTTTTTAAAATGGCCAATTTCTGAAAAATTCCCTGTACTATAGCCCATGGTTTTTTCCGAAAAATGGGTTCGAAATCACCCCAAATTTTTATTACATTTTTTGATACATATTGATGTCCTTATGCTATGTAGAAAGTTTGAGTTGATTCCAACATATATTTTTCGAGTTATGGCCATTTTTTCTAAATGGCCAATTTCTGAAAAATTCCCTGTGCTATAGCCCATGGTTTTATCAAAAAAATGGCTTCGAAATTACTCCCATTGCATTTTTTTATTAATGTTTTTATATTTCGTAGAAAGTTTAAGCTGATTTTATGAATTTTTAAAAGTTGGCCAATGACCATGTACTGCACTACATGTACATGTATTATAGTACAGGGACTATGATACAATGATTACAAAACTAATAATAAACATTAAAGTGGTAACCATTCAACAATGGAACTTGCTAGTTACAATATACATGTAAATTTTCTACATTTCAACATGCTCTCAGCACACTGAATCATTATGACTACTGTATGTGACTTCCATTTTTAATTGTAGAAACCACAAAAGGTTGAGGAGTCATTCTTGGGTACTAATGCAACTCTTGTTAATCTTGATGCACTGACGGCTCCACTGCCTCCTCCAACTTCATCAGTCAATCCATTTGGGATTGCTCCGCTACCTCCAGCAGTGACTCCTCCAACTGCTCGCTCTGGTAATCCCTTTGAGTCGGTAAAGGCACCAGCTCCTACGCTTGCTCAATTGCAACAAGGACCCACCTTTGGTAAGCTCCAATGAGAGCAGGCATGCATGTACTTGTATAATCACTTTTGATGAAACTCTTTTTACAAACTGTGGTATTCTTCTCTACCTCTTTCATTCTTTTACTTTTTCTCCCTCCCTCCATCTTCTTCTTTTCTATTTGTAGATCCTCTTCCTCCTCCTCTGCTACCTGGATCAGGCACAACAGAGTCCTTTAATCCTTTCTCATAGCAAGCTAAGCATCAGATAATAAACCAACAACAAACTATATGATTTATCATTATTATTATTATTATTAGAAAACATTTTTTCTCATGTCCATGAGCTTGCACATTGTATTAATGTGTATGTATTAATGTGACCATTTTATGTCTCTCATAGGCTAATTGATTTTGTTTTTATATCTTTTCATGTGTCGCTAGTTTAAAAATGCTATCGTTTTGTTATTGTGATTTTTTCCTTTCTAATAAAAATTGAGTGTTATAATTATGGAATGGTGTGGTATCTTTAAAGGATAGCTCATTTAAAATCTGATAACTCTGTTCAACAATATCAAGCTAAAAGTTGTAATTATTTTTACAAGTGTAAAATTGAAGTGTGAACAAGCTTGTTCGCACTTGTTTACACCTTAAATTGTACATGTAGCTATTTTTCTTTAAATTTTTGGGAAGAATTTTTTTATTTTATTACAAATAATTATTATAATATTATATAACAATGCAACTAACAAAATAATTATAAAATTTAATAAGGCGGACTATTTTATTAAAAATTGTTCCAGCTGTGATATTCTATTTTTTAACTCCTATTTTAAAAAATGATTATCAAAAATTTTTTTAAATGCTGCCAGCATACCTTGTACTGTATGTACTCATTGTGCATTAGCTTTCTCTTGTCATCATGCTGGACAGGCCTACGAAAGAAGCAATGCATATACATGTAGCTACAGGTTAAGAACTACCTCTTTTCTCTTTCTTGAAACTCAGTCTCAAATGCTCTTAGCTGCTGCCTTTGCTCTCTCTTTCTGGTCTGTGCCAACTCCAACTGCACTCTAAGTTCGTGTCTACATAGTTATATATATAATGCATTATACTATTATTACGCATTGCAAGGTATTTATTTATCTTACGCTGATGCTTTTTGTAGCTGATCGTTGCTCATCCAAACCTTTTTATCATGTTCAGTGAGTGGTACACAACTTGTACTAGCACTTTTCCGATTAAGTGATTTATGGGATTTGGATATTGGCGTTGAAGTAAGCCTTTCTTTTCCTTCTGAAATCACATTAATATGAAAATACAACTATAAGATTCATACTGTACCTCTCCCTGCAAAGAAAGAGTGTTGTTGATGTGGTGTTTCTGGTAGCTTTAGATCAGGGGATAAAGTTTGCTGCAACATTGTATCCGACCACAAGCTATTATCTCTTTTGCCCGCTATTGTTGGACTATCTACTACTTCGTGATGTTGATTCTACATTATTATTAAGCATAATATTACAATAGTGCAATGTTTTTACTAACTTTCTGGACAAGTCTTTTAATTTCTCTGTACGTATCATATAGTGGCCTCATGATTGCCTTACTCTCTGGACTTTGCTACAAATTAAAATACGTTTACGAAATTTCAAAGCATACTTATAACATTCTACACTAACTGGTCTTCCGTGCCTCTTTTCAAACTGAAGCAGTGTCTTTTGCACTAAGTGCTTCTCTTGCATGAGCTCATCAGGTGTCATACTCTATACAGACAATCATAATAAATATTAATATCTTCTTTTATTTTTCTAATAATCTCTCAAACATTTATAATACTAGTTTTTGTGATTTGCCTTAAGTTCAATTACATGTCCCTCTCTTCATTTCATAAGTTTCATTAGCTCTTACTTTTAAATCATTAGTTCTTCCTGCTTTACGTCTCTTCTCTTCCAGTGATGCAGTTATACTTTGCATTATCAAACATAAAGGGTTCTCTTGGGTAATGGCACCGTGAGATGACCCAACTACTAATGACTGATGTCTTCGAACTGGTTTAGAAACTGTTTCCTTTCTTCTTAAGCTAGTGGCAACTTTCGATTCATCAAAATCATCCAGTCTTGTTGATGACTGACTTATAAACTGCTCAGAATAATCTGATTCCACAGATACAATATGTATATATTATAAAAGAACTGCACAAATGTCTTTACATACTTTCTTGTACTGTTGGAAGTGATGTTTTATTTAGTGGGACTTGATTTGATCTCAGAGCTATAAAAGAATAGATGACATTAAGTAGTAAAAGCAATACTGTCATCATTTACTTCTTATTCTTTGCTTTATTGCTGTAAGTAATGCTTTCTCTTTAGTCACTTGATCATACTCATCATTTCTTGGCTAAAATTTAAAAATAATTATTATACATATGCACTGTATGTGCCAGCATGCATTATGATTATATGTACTTTGCGTTGATGCTTCTTTAAAAATTCTCTTTCATGCGATTTTAAAATATCTCTCAGCCCTACAAAATTTATTGATAAATGTAAAAAAATAACCAAAGACTCACTTCTTGCTTCTATTATTAGTTCATCATAATTTAATGACTCAATCTGACTTGAGTCACTCGTCCATCCGGCTGGTATTAGCAACGGGGTCACCTTTTCTTTTGGTTCAATTTTTTCTCCATTTTGAACAATTGGTTTCTTGTGTACATTAACAGGCGCTATGCCGCTAACAGGAGAAGTAGATACTACAGCTGCAGTATGCGATGATGATAGCTCTGTTGTATGTGATATGACATTAGTACTCCCAGTCAACAATAAAGGCATTGATAAGTTATTGGATGCACTGGTGTATGTGTGACTCAGAGGCATTACTACGGTCACAGTAGCAGTTGAGGCAGTCACGTGCTGACTAGTAGTCATATTACTTGCAAAAACAGTCGTTTGGCTGGGTGGGGTAGAAACTGCAACAGTAGAATATGGTTGGTCGGCAACTGGTATTGTTGACTGGCTAATAGATAATGTTTCTTTAGCTGGACTCAATATACCAGATATAGAACCAATTGCTGGTGCTACATGACTTGATACTGGTGTCACATCACTCATTGCTGGTACTGAATAATTTGCAGTTGAGGTAGGTTCATTGCTTAAGCTAGAGGAAGGAGGTGGCAGATTAATTTCCTCAATCACATCCATTGATGATATTTTATTAGTATAGGAATCATTGACTGCATCCTCTGAGACTAAAAAGGAACTTGACTGCCTTGATGGTTTTGCTCTTTTAGGGCCTCTTGCTCTTTGCTTTGTTGGCTATAAATAATTAATAGATATATTAGACAATAATTAGCACTAGCAGACAGCTCATATTCACATTTGATACATTTGGTATACAGACAATTTTCATAAATTTACAAGATGCTTGAGGCTACAGTGTATGTATGGGATGCTTGAGCAATTAAGGCATGCTGGAGTTATTTGTTTAAAGTATTGATGCATACTTGAAATACCTCGTGATTATACTTACATGAATATCTAGTGTTTTAATTTGTCTTGTCACATAATCAAAGTCATGAGCCGTGTATGAGCCCAGAGCCTGTCTCCCTATTTTGGGTTTCTCCGGCACTTTAGGTGGCGGAGGCTTCTCTTTGGCCTCTTCCTTCACTGAAACATGATCATCATCTTTACTATGTCGAGCTGGAGCAGCTCCAAACTACAGTGAAGTGCATATAAACATTATAGCAGCGTGTCCACCATACCTGATAGAGTAATCCTTTCTTTTCAAAGCTATCCCTGATACTCTTTATATTAAAAGACCCTTCTACAGTAGTTTTTCCATTATCAAAAGTAGTTTCTTTTTCTTTTTCTTCTGTGTCAACTCCTTCTTCTTCCTTTCCTTTAACAGTGACCAGTTGTATTGTATTGTCAGGGTCTCTATCACTACTAAACACAGCACTCTTCCTGTTCCTAACTGACTTCTTTCGTCTCGTGAAACCAGGCTCCTCTCTCATCTGCACCACACTCTCACTGCTAACAGCTGTATCTGTTGTACCTTCAGATGACGTCGGTATTGCCTTGTATAACATATCGGCACTGTTACTGCTGGTGGTGGTTGTGGTTGTATCTTCAGAAGATGAAGGTGGAATAAGAGCATTAGTTGTGACAAGAAGAGGAGGAGGAGGGGAGGAAGTCTCAGGCGATTGGAACAAATGATCTTGAATGCTGTCACCAATAAGCGTATTGTACGCTCTATAAATAAAGAGTGCATTATATTAACAAAGTGTGGTCTTGTGTGACATTACTGTGATGTCCGTGGGGTTACATTAGGTGAGGTTGGTGGACTGGTCCCCATACTACACATGCAGTTATTATTATTCAGAGAATTTATAATTCTTTACCTGCTCTTAGAGTTCCATGAGAGAGGAGAGGGTACTCTACTTATTAGTATGTCATCACTATAAAGTACCAAATTATAATTCACAGTATGTGCAATGTACATGTATGTGTATGTGTATAATAGATTACCTTAATGATTTACTTTTACTAGCCACAGCAATTGATTCTGACCTGCAGTGTACACAAGAACAATCCAATGTACATGTATAATGATAGAAAGCATCGACTTACTGTGCTCTCTTTCTTGTCTTTTCTTCATGGTTCTCAGCTTCCTCAATAGCTTCGTCAATACTTCTTTCATGGGGTGAGACAGATTCATCATTGTTTGTGTCATTTAGTGGTACTCGTGCTACTGTCTCGTATACGTGTATGTCAGAATCAAGACTTGTCTCATGATTAGGACTGCTAGGACAAGACAGAGAGAAAGTGAGGTTTGTCTAGAGAAGAAAAAAAGGACAAAATTGAAGTACAAGAAAAAGAAAAGAGAGAGAGAGAGAGAGAGAGAGAGAGAGAGAGAGAGAGAGAGGTATAAAGTTAAGTTTGTTAGTGATATCTTATACTTTAGCGTTCTTATGAACATGATAAGGTTGAGGGAGTTCAGGTTTCTTTTTCTTTCTTGAGTCTGAGGGAAGGAATACATCATCAGATGATTCACTGATTGCCCTCAGATTGTTCTCTTCCTGAAGAAAACATCAACATAAACTTTTACATGTACATACACTATCACTATATGCTGTTTATCAGTGTAATCAAAGTGTGCTTACATGTACATGCACTTTCTCATCAAATATGATTCTGTAGTGGAGTATCATTTGAGCAAAAGCAGAATTAGCGTATCCCTGTCTCTTGATATCGCTAAGTTGATCCCCACACCTGTACATTAGAGGATTAGTCAATTGTGCTGCATTGAATAAGGATTGTTTGATAAATACTTTCATGATAAGCTAAACACACAATACACACATCATGCACACAGGCTATAGTCCACCTGAATATGTTTGGGCCAAATACAATCGATAGCGATACTGCAGTCATCTTATTGCTTCCTACATGAACAGTATTTGTGTTTATAAATAATGCATTAGAAATATTACACAACATGTTTACCAGTGTGTTCTGCAACAAGTGAAAGATGAGCACAAAGATACTTCAAAAGCCGGTAATGATCCTTTGGTAGAGCAGTTAATATGTCTTTGACTTTCTTAATCTCCACAGGTGTGTAGGACCCAGTTATAGCTATAAATCAGTTTAGATGATGGTAAATTAATTGGGCTAAATGATAGCATTCTTTGTTCTTAGAGTGCATCATTCCAAAAAATTAGTATGTATTAATATGACTTACTCTCTTGTAGCTTTACAACACAATCAACAACAGGATCAGGGACTAATGGGTCTGGCAGTTGCCTCTACAAAAAAACAGTGAGAATAATGTCACAATACATAATATCATTACTAGCAAGGGAAGCATAATGTAAACAATAATTATTATTGTCAGTCAAATATGATGACAAAATTACTATACAGCAAACAAGTCTGACCAGTACAAAAACGAAAATATTTTGTTTGATAATATTATATTTAGTTAGTTTAAAGTGATTGTGATATAACTAATAGTTTCAATATTGAATGCCTCATACAAATTAGCTACATTAATTACCAGAAACAATTTCAGGAGACTTCCAATCGAGTATATTTCAACATCAGTCAAATCAACATCTCCATCATTATCAAAACGGATCCTTAACTTCTCCACAAGCTTGCTATTACCATTGATCCTATACAGACCTTCTTGATCCAATCCTAACAAGAGATTGCATTGATCAGTTTAAGACTATCATAATGCACATGTGTGCTTTCTTAGAGAGAACAATCAGGACATGATGGATGCATTATCCATACCATGTTTCTCAATGTGATTAACAATCTTTACCACCACAGGTGGTATAGCATGTGGCCCATTACTGGCTGAGAAATGTTTAGCTGGCAGTGAGATTTTCCGCGATTCACTTTGTGCAGGTTGATCCAGTAACTGTTTCAATGGCACACCAAACACTTTACCTACATGATAAAGCAGTGGATAATCAACCATACTTGATCTCAACATACTGGCATTGTTTAAAGATTGGGCTCTTGGTTTCTTCTTTGGAGTTGGAGAGCTTTGAAATACTTTCTTCATTTTTGAGGCCAACCCATTTGAGCTTGATGGCAAGTCCAGCAACTGAAAGAGAGAGAGAGAGGGAGTAGTTTACAAAACTAGATCATTGAAGAATGATGTGGGCTGCATCTTTTAAATAACAAATCAGATAATTAAACATTACAATGCTGTGTCTTATTATAAATATTAAACAAAGAATATTACTTAAAGCACAAAGACTAAAAAAACTGTCACCCTAGTATTGTACCTCTTGAGATTTTGATTTAATAAGCTTCCCAGGTTTCCCAGCCATTAAAATAGTGACAAGTAACTGGTTTGCAGTTATTATCGGAGAATAGTCCTGACTCAATTGTGAAAGAAGTAAGACTAGAGTGAGATTGTACTTCTGGATTATATTGCAGGGAGGAGCTCAGTAAACACAAACTTGTATCTTGATCTCCTAGGACGCTCTGATGTGTTTATTTTACACTTGCAATCCAGAGGAAGGGCGTGTCTGTAGAAACAAGCTAATTATTATTCATGAGTATACAATAACCACGCCCAATACTTTTCTATTTTTAAATTAAATAATGACATGACAATAAAAATAAGCCCCATTGGCAATGTTTTATTATTATAGGGTTACATTTCAGCTTCTTTATAAAATTTGTCTTCTAAACTAGGTGTTGTTTTATCTTTTGTAGGAAGCTCTGTTGCTGCATACAGCTTAGGAATATCATAACGATCACAATCTTCCTTAGCAACTTCTCTGAGTGTATAGCTATCAGCAGATTTCTTGTACTGCTTTTTTTTTATACAAACACATATTCTATAGGTAAAAATGCCTAAGTGACAATAATAAAATTTTAAGACTTACATTGCAATGAATATGATAAATATGATAAAGGAAGCTACAAAACCTGCTGCAAACAACCATATCAATGAAGTAAAATTATTACCATTACTGCTACCATCATCATTGTCATTGTCGTCATCATCATCATCATCATCATCATCATCATCATCATCATTTAAAGGTGAGGCAATAGAAAGTGCTGTCACATTGTTTATCCATAACAACTTATTAGTCTCAAAGTCATTAAATAGGATTGATACCAAGTCTGAAGCAGTTTGTGATCCATCTATTGCTGCATATATCACGGTTGAAGAAAAGTTAAGTTTAGCCCTTTCATCAAAACAAAAGATGTCAGAATCAGTAAACTTCATATATTTGACTGAACACATGCAGGAATGTTTTGTTCGGTTTCTTAAAGCATTTTCAAATATCAAAACATCCTATATAATAGTAGATATTAATTCACAAGACAATTACAAAACTTACATCCCATTTATTGCAATCATTAACATTTAGGCTAACAGTAAATTGAACTGCAAAAGTTAATTATTTCAGTAAAAAATTATACAACATAGACTACTCACATTTCTCTTCCAACAAGATTTCTTTTTTAATATACTGAGCTGTAGTATCAACTGCACACTGATAAAGACCATACTTAGAGCTACCAGAAGTATTGTAAACTAGTTCTGATTCTGTACTATTAGCAATAGCCACTCCATTCTTAATCAAAGTAATATCATGATAGAGAGGCCTAGGATACCCACCACTGACAGAGCATGACAGCTGAACATTGTATTCCTGCATAAAACTGGTTTGACTAGCATTAAAACTAACAAATGGAGACTCTGAAAAGCAAAAAGAAACATAAAACACAATAACAATGAAGACTAACCATAATACTCTAGCCTCTGTACATCAGCATCAAGAAATATATCAGTTAGTCCCAAATAACTGGATGAATCAAGGAAGCTTTGATATGAACTAGGACAATTTAATGAAGAAAGTACTGATGACGAATCAAGAGCAAATTGAAACTCATAGTATCCAGAATCAGTAATTGAAGGATGAATGATAGTGTAATTATAGGTACCATTAGAGAGCAATAAAATACCATTGTGATACAATGACACACTTCCTTCATTATTATCACTGGTCAATGCTATTTGAGGAGATTCATTGTTAAAAACAACAAAACCTTTCAAGAAATTAGGAGTGCTGTCTTCATTAACGTAAATTCCTATAAAATACAACTTAAAACAATAATGGCAGAAATAATATCCTACCATTAGGCACCATAATGAAACTTAATGGGCTCAACACAGGATAACCACGTAGTAATTGCAGTATCTTGTTTTGACAGTCTTTGTTATAATGATACAACCTTAGTAAGTCAAATCTAACAGAATATTCTCCAATGTCTTCATCAGTAATATTATTGATGACAAGTGTCTTGTTACCATTGTTAATGAGGTGCTTGCTGGAATTTGATATCTTACTACCATTATAATACCAGTTGAGTTCAAGAAGATATTCAGTTATAGTAGTGTCTGTTATGTTCACTGTCAAGGTACCAACAAAGCCATTCTCACTATTCAACTGAATACTGGTATCAGAAGACTGCAATAACCCTACAATTATTATGCATGTAGAAATTACTATAAGTTGTTATGCATGTACACAATCATGAAAATGAAAAGCAAATTTTGATGAAGTCAAACTTAGTATGTAAAATTGAGAAATCAAAAATTCATTTATAATGATCTTCGGCCAAAATCAGAATGCTTCTTTGAATGCTCATAACTCAAGAACTACTGGCTTAAACATTTTACATTATCCAACAAAAGCCTTTGGCCAATTTTTAAATGGATAGTTGTTTATGTAAAATTAATAAGGTCAGCATACCTTTGACAGATATTACAGTATGTCCCATTCCTATCACTGCTCCATTGTATTTCACTATGCAGTAATAGTTCCCGTGAGTTGTATGTCCTGCATTTATAGTTAGTGTGACATTAGGATCTGTATCTCTGTATTGTGTGAATGAAGATGTTCCTGATACAGTCCTTCTCCAGTGATAGGTACTGTTAACAGGAGGAGCAGGAGATACATTACAGGTAAGTACTACTCTACTCCCAATAGAAACAGCATCAGTATCAGTATCAATGGTCACACTGTAGCGAATAGGAGACTCTGTGTGTATTGTACATACTAATATAGGCATAATTATTAATATTGAAGTACCTTTACACATAACTCCAACATCTTTAGCATGATAACAGTTGGTTGCTCCTATACCATTAACATAAGAACACCGAGTAAGACTCTCTTCATTGCCAGTACAATCAACTCCTGTCATGTGAACTGGTCCAGTCCCTCTTCCAAAGTATCCATTAGTCACTGGTATTGCTCCTACACACATCAAATAATTAATCATCATGAATGAGACTATTAACTTACTCAATGTATGATGCCCAGCCTGTGTACATGCTACTAGAGCATCTCTTTCATCCCATCCAGTACTACACACTGTACCCCAGTATCCATTGAGACATATCTCAACTCTACCTTCTCTTGAATCACCACCATTAGATAACCGTATTGATCCTTCTGTATTGCAAGCATCTAAATTAATTACAGCCATGATGACACTGAATCATAACCACCTTACTTTCACTAGCATTGTGCTGACATTCTATACCACCTCGTATCACATAATACCATGAGTCTGCGTTAATTGAAGGTAGAGATTTTGAACAATTTTCTAGGTTACTCTCAGTACCATTACATTCGTATGTATAACCAACTCTTTCATTCTTACCACTCCAGTTAGTATCAGTAATTGCAACAGACCCTACAATAGATCACATACAATAGATGATATAATGTTATACTTACAAGTATCATAATATCCTAATTGCCTGCAAACAACTTTAGCATTATTATAATTCCAGTATCTTGCATCAATTGTCGTCCATATACCATCAGTACATATCTCTACTCTTCCTTCATTATCTCCTCCTAAGGTAGTCATTCCAGCACTGCAGTTAACAACAACTATTGAAATATCTTATTACACAAACTGCTCAATTAATTTTCTCACTTGAACATAAATATCCATATGTCTGTAAAGTATAACAGTTGCCAGAAGCACTTTTATTAGAACATTGAGTCAGCGAGAGCTCATTTCCATTACATAGGAATTTATCAAGCACTATTGGTCCATCTTCACCAAAGGAATATAGGAAGTATGAATTCCCTATTATAGTATTTCTTCAAAACAATCACTCATTTTTCAAAACTTACAATTATTATCAAGATATCCTAGTTGTCTACATATAACATTTTCATCAGGTGGAGGATAGTTGTAAAGGAAATTAATGTAATTGCAAACATAAACCCACACTCCGTCGTAACATATTTGAAAATCACCTTCATTGTTAGAATCACCTCCAATTAACCTTATTTTGCCATGTGTACAGTTCCTGTCTAGTTGCAAATATCTCTGTATTATTTTTATGATAACAGTATGTAGCCTTACTGTAACATTTAATGCCAACAGTACTCCTATAACTGCATGAAAAACCAGGATAAATTGTGCATTCTGTTAGATTAGCCTCTGATCCAGTACAATAAACATGTCCTATAAGTTGTTCAAGATTTCCTCCACCAAACTCAGAATATTGAAATATCAATCCTTCTATAAAAAACAAAAAGGTACCGTATAGCTCCTAATTTTCGTCAGTCAAAAATTTCGTCAAAATCTCAATTTCTTGCTAAAATTAATTTTCGTCAATAAAATTTTCGTCATTTTTGTTATTAATCCGCATACTACCCACGTGGAACAAAAATTTCGTCAGTTAAAAATTTCGTCAAGCAAAAGTGCCTGACAAATTTGATGAAAATTTTGACTGATGAAAATTTGGAGCTATACGGCAACTAATTTTACCAATAATAATTTTACCTTGTCCATCATAACCAAGTTGACTACAAACAATACCAATTTCTCTTTCATCAAAGTATGTGCTACAAACAGTTCCCCATTCTCCATTGATGCAAACTTCCACTCTTCCTTCATCTGGCGTAGTACCATTTACTAGTCTGACATCACCATTAATACAGTCAGTTAATACTGTAAAATTAAAATAAGTTATAAAACATAATAATAATGCTAAAATAAACCACCTCTTTCTAAACACTTCACGCCAACATCATTCGTGTGAGATTGAGAAAAGGCTACATTTGCACTATTAAGAGAACAATCTTCTAAGCGAGACTCATTTCCAATGCAATTTAAATATATATGTGTGATAGGACCAGATCCTGGACCAAAATACGCCGTAGAAAAAACCAAAGCACCTGATTGATATGAGGTTATTATTAATGAAATAATTTTGGCAGCATGCATGCATACGTGGATGTTGGTATCCAAGTTTTCTGCAGACTACATGAGCATCTGGAGTATTAAATCCATATCTACAGATAGTACTCCATACTTCGTTGCTACAATATTCTACTCTTCCTTCTATTAAATTAGGACCATTGGGATCAACCAAACGCATGTCTCCATTTGTACAACTACCTAGTATGAGTATTAAAATAATGTAATAATAAATAATGATAATAATAATTTATACCTGAAGTTGGTACAATGTTTCCTTGACATCTAACACCAGAAATTCTGTACAAACCATAATTGGTGTTAAAGCAATTTGAAACTGTTGACTTCAAGCAATCATTTAAATTTGATTCATTCCCATAGCAATTCCAACTATAGAGTATTGGAAGTCCATGTCCATATCCAAATGAATTAATATATGAAACAACTTGTGCATCTGTAAAAGTATTATATAAGATGATGGCTTTGTGTTTACTACCTATGGATTACCTGTTGCTGGTAGACCTAATTGTCTACACACTACAAATGCCTCTTGATACCCCCAATTGCTATCACAGACACTAGTCCATGCTCCATCATTACACACTTCAACAGTTCCTTCTGTTGGTATTAGTCCATCAGTGAGTCGCACTGATCCAGATGTGCATGATGAGTTAGCTATATAAAATAACAATACTATTGTTAGAAGGTGAGAATACTTTCATGTGACTATGAAATGATATTCATCTATGACGCTTGTCTTGCATTTTACCAGCAGACATGTAAACATTATTAGGCCCTTATTCATCAAAAAATACTGAGCTGCTGGCCATTGTTCTTATATTTTAGCTATGACCCTTTATAATTACTTACCTGGACATACAATGCTAACATCATTTGCATGAGAACAGCTTGTATTACCAATACCCTGAGTCATATTACAATCCAGTAAAGAATTCTCAGATCCAGTACAGTAAAGATAACTGAGCCATATTGGACCTGTACCCTCGTGATAATAAGCATCATACAATACACTTACAGCTATTAAAAAGAAAATAATAATGTACTATGAGATCTATTGTAGCAAGTCTCTAAATTTGAAGTATATACTTTGTTCATACTCCACTTCATATCCCAATTGTCTGCAAGCAACTCTAGCATCCAAAGCATCAAAAGCACCACCACATATACTTCCCCATACAGAGTCAATGCATATCTCCAGCCTTCCTTGATAAGAAGCACTTCCATTCACCAATCTTAGTGCCCCATACTGACAGTTGTCATTACAGTTACCTACTTCTATAAAATATAGTTTTGTATGGTCTACATAGTCAGATAATACTCTGCCTTACCTGCGAGCCAGAAGAAATATGATAATAATAAAATTGCAGACGCCATGTAGCATGCACTATGTATGAATTGCCTGGGGCGTGTCCTAGTCCTGTTAATTAAATTCATTTTGCTTAAAATGTTGGATAACAGCTAGCTTTTAGATAGCTGAGTGTACAATGGACATAAACCTAATACCTTTCCTTTGAACTATTGGGAGGACACTTGTAACAATGACTGATAGGGTGAGCTGTCCTTCATCACTTAGTATAATAATAGTGCAATGACATTTAAAACTGCTTATTAACCATTTATGCTAAAAGTGTGTTAAAAGAAATGATAAAACACAAGACATTATATCTAACTAGTAGAACAATGAATGGTCCAGTGGCTACAGCATTAACATGTATGAGTATTATAGCTATTATGATAAAGTTGAGGCAATGATTATGATCTGATACCAATCTCTGATTTCCAACCAGGTGCTCTCTCAAATCCATTCTTTCCTTGAGAAAAGTCTTCAAATGTTTGATATATCTCAGCTTCACTGTTCATCACAAACGGACCTACAATTATAGGCCACACAAATAAATAAATTAATTAGGCATCGTAGAATTTTTAATTTTAGCAGAATCTATTATTATCATCCATCCTACCATGCTGTACAACTTTCTCTTTGACAGGCTCTCCCGCTATCAGAACAAAATGAAGCTGTTCATCATCCTAATGGAGTTTAATTATAAATTAAGAATTAAAATAATTTTATATGTACTTCATTTTTCACATTAATGTGATCCCCAGGGCCCAATACTAGTGTGTGGTGGGGTGTACTCTCCATCCAGTCATCAGATCCGGTTGCTGTCTTCCCACCAAAATATCCTCGACCTTTCAATACATATATGAAACCATTCCAACCTTAAAAGAGAATGTGATAGTAAGAGTAATCCATGCTTTTTATACATGGTATTTTGTCAAAAATAAATATGAAAAAATTCTCAATTTTTATTACATTTTTTGATGCATATTGATATCCTTATGCTATCTAGAAAGTTTGAACTGATTCTGACAAATATTTTTCAAGTTATGGCCATTTTTAAAAAATGGGCCAATTTCTGAAAAATACCCTGTACTATAGCCCATGGTTTTTTCTGAAAAATGGCTCAAAAATCACACCAAATTTTTATTACATTTTTTGATACATATCAATGTCCTTATGCTATGTAGAAAGTTTCAGCTGATTCTGACAAATATTTTTCAAATTATGGCAATTTTTTAAAATGGGCCAATTTCTGAAAAATACCCTGTACTATAGCCCATGGTTTTTTCCAAAAAATGGCTCCAAAATGACCCCAAATTTTTATTACATTTTTTGATACACATCAATGTCATTATGCTATGTAGAAAGTCTGGGCTGATTCTGACAAATATTTTTCAAGTTATGGCCATTTTTAAAAATGGGCCAATTTTTAGTCTTTATACATGAGATTTGGCCAAATTTAATCAGAAACTGAAATTAAGGGAATTCTAGATTTTTAGTACATTTTCTGATGCATATACATGTTCTTATGTTACGTACAATTACTACAATAGTAGCTTGAGCTGAGTCTGATCAAAAGTACACATTCACTAGTTGCTCAAAAAGTTGGCCTCAAGAAGGGCTAAGGGAAGGGAGGCAATTGCTTTACTGCCCCGTAGTGCCCCTACCCTTAAAATTTTTAAATTTCAATATCAAAGTAAATGTACCACTATACCTTCAGTAACAGGCTGGGAAAGATGACTTCCTTTGTCTATCTTAAAATCAAGATAAACAGTTGGAGTTAATGTACGGACAGGAGACTAAAAAAGAACAAAAAACATTCATAATGCTATAGATATTGATACTGACACTGATATTGAAATCTTACACTAGCTCCGAGTGAATCTCCTGCAATTACTGTTACATGAACTCCGTCTTTACTGACAGATGGTATGTCTTTATTTAATAATTCTTGATAGCGTGGCTCAACCATCTAGAGAGACAGAAAGGATAAACAATGCATACACACACACACACACACTGGATGACTTTACTTTATCTTTTTTCTTTAAATTTATCCACAGTTGTAGTCCCACATTATCTCCATCACCAGCTGGCATTTCAGAATGCACTATACCCCGACCAGCAGTCATCCACTAAACAATGGAAGAGATTTATAGGATGATAAAGCTAACAATCACAAACCTGTAGATCTCCTGGGTTTATGGTTCCTTTGTGTCCACAAAAGTCTTCATGCATGAATGATCCTTGGAGCATGTATGTGACCTAAGAAAAGTCTTTAATATTCTTAACCCTCTTTTCCTCAATTTTTTCATCTCTTCTCTTTTCCTTCCTCACTCTTGTCTCTCATTACAGTTACCGTTTCAAAG